CATACAGGGCAAGGAGGCCCTGTTCTCCCATACAGCCATATTAAATGAAAGCCACTACAGTGAACTCTTAATTACATAAAACATATCCATTATCTGATTGCCCTTTAAGAAAAGTACGGTAGATGCAAAAAATGTTTTAATCTGGAGTTCTGCCTGACCAAGAATTAAGCATATAAATCTATCTTGCCATTCAAGCAGAGAGCACTGGACAAACTGAAGCACAAAACAGAAATAAGCAAAACTTATACAAACAGCATTTTCGGGGGGGAGGGGGAAAAAAAAAGACTTAAAAGCAGACATGCTCCATCTAATGTCAAGAAGCAGCTTGGTTTCCTTTGCCAGATATCCTTGTGACCACATGAATCGTAGACTCAATGGTCCTACACAGGATGTCTAAAATGTCATGCTGCTGCATGTGACTAAAAAGTCCTCTGGAATGGCCACAACTGATTGATAAACTATTTTCAGGGTCCTGGGATGGTAAGGCTTGACCATCGCAGCCTCTTAGATCTGCTAGGTCAGATAAAACTGCTGAAATTGATGTGGAGGGGAACTCTGAGTCATCTTCAACTGCAGTGGGATCCTTGGAACTCTGCAGATCTTTAAATTCCTTGCACTCTTCAAATTTACCATTGCCTGACTGCTCTTCTGTGTGTTGTGACCTGGTAGTTAACATCATGTCTTCTGAAAAGGAAGATGGAACTTCCATTCTGTATTCTTTAACAGAACTATTTTCAGGGGAAGGAGGATCTTGTTCAGTGCCAGGATCAATGATAGAAGAGTCTCTTGTCTCATTATCTGAAGTGCTTGTTGGAGTCAATGCCTCCCTTGGTTCAGTTTTCATATCACTGATGCAGCTGTCTACAGTATGCTCCTCATCACTGCTAACCCGTCTTCTTTTTACAGGAGTAGCTCCTTCATCATCTGTAAAACCAACATACAGTTTGCAGTGAAGTACATTTATCAGATTTGTTTTATATTTACATTCAAATGTCGAGGTCTTTTATTTAATGTTTTTCACTTTCAGAAACTCTTCTGTATGTAGGCAAACAGCGCTCACTAGAGATCTCCTCAGAGGCTCATCAGATTGGAGAGATTCATTAACTAACTGCCTGCTTAAAATTTCACTTCCTTAGATTCTTGTGTGTTGCATTAGGGATTGGAATCAGCAAATCTGAAGCTCCAGTGTTAAGCAGGTAACCTAAGATCTTTACAGCAAGGACTGTCTTTTTTGTTCTGTGTTTGTACATCACCTAGGGGTCCTGGTCCATGACTAAGCTCTGCCACAATACAAATAATAAATAATGATAACAATGATAATAAATAATATTTTTCGTTTGTTTAAACAGATTTCATTACATAACCTCTCTTTAATATGCTCAGATTTGTAAAAGATTTTCCTCTCCACACTAAGTGTAATTGTTCTGGTCCAAGGAAGTAATCCTGGTCCCACTGAGGTCAATGGTAAAATGCCTTTTTATTTCTATACAACCAGGATTTCACCCCATGTGTTTTGGATTGACAATGTATAATGTTATGTGTACAGCATTATTAGTTTGGATAATACTGTACAGAAAAAAAAAACAGGTCCCTTACCCGAGACGCTTACAATCTAGTTTACACATGACAACAGGGAGAAATGGGAGTGGGAAGCATCACACAAAGGAAACCGATAGGTGAGATTTACATACTATAGCCTCATGAGGTTATTTATTGCATCACACACATACAGTGTCAGTTCCTATTAATTTATCTCATTTCAGTATGCAAATTCGTCAAAATTAGGATTGTGCTTTTTTCTCTTCTTTTTATGGCATGGGAGTGGAATCAGCACTAGAAGGCTAGTCCAAGGAAGTGGGTGTTAGAATATTTTAAAAGGGGAGGTAGGTTCCATAGTTAGCACGTTATTTTAGACATAGGGATGATACGGGAGAAAGATACAAAAACAGTCTCAAGGCCAGTGGAGCTGGCATAGCAGAGTATGGGGGACGGGAGTGGTAAGGGATGAAACAAGAGAAGTAGTATGAGGAGCTTTGAAAGTGAGGACAAGATTTTAATTTCATGCTGCAAATGTGAACCAGTGACGGGGGTGATATAGTAAGAGCAATAGGCAAGAAAAATTATTTTAGCAGAAGTATTTTGGATTATCCAAAGGGGTGCAAGGCAGGAGTCTGGTAAACCAGAGAGGTGGTGGTTGCTCTAGTCTAACTGGGAGATTTCCATGGTATGGACCAGAATCTTGGTGGTACAGCCTGAGCTGGAGATACAAGGAGGAAGAACTGGCAGAATATAGCAACAGCGTGGATATGTGAGGTAAAGGAGAGGGAGTTGAAGATTACAACAAGGTTATAAAAGGCACACCTTTAGTTTTTCTTTCTTTGGCTTCTTGCTCTTGTAATGAGTTCCTCTGTTGTTGACAAGCCCTGCATTTGTTTAGCAGTTCTTGCAAAGTTGGAATCAGGGCCGAATTCAGCTGCTTAGGGGTGTGCACTGAAAGCAACAAAGCAAGTGCTCGAAGGTCCTAGAAACACCATAAACAAACACGATTACTAAAATACTTAAAACTTTATATTTACATTAATCCTACACACACACTATCTACAACTGAAATAGGTTGATTTGTGTAATAAGTAGAGATACACAGATACCAGATGTTCTGAACCCTTTTCTGCTTCCAACAGAATAGATTCCTAAACTTTGTTTACACTATAGAAATTTCTCAAAACTTTCCCACTAGTATCAGCAATATCCTTAATGTAGACAAAGACCTACTGTGAAAAAGTTGACAATATTAAGTTGTACACTACAGAATTAGCCCCCTTGGTTAGGATTTCTTAATGCTTAATTCCAATGTGTTTTACACTAGTTCTGAACAACAAATAAAACACAGTATGGTTGCCAACCTGACCGTGGAAAACCCATCAACAGTTTAGGAAATTTTGTGTCCTGTAGAAGTGGCATAGAATACGGAGAATTAACAAAATGTAGAATTACTTGAGTGTTTCTGTCAACCCCCAGCTATTTCATACCACTGCTGGTATCTAAACTCTGGGAGTAGAGGAGTTTGCATGTGCACTGATTTCCTGTGTGAACAGTGCGCTCTGCATGTTGAGAATGCTGAAAAGGTTGTTCTACTTTTAGTCTCCAGACCATTCATTAAGTGTGGGCTCCTAAACCCAAAAGAGCCTGTCACTGGGGGCACTGAAAGATATCACAATATACATTGGCCTGTCTACATTATTCTGTTATGTAAACTTTAGCAAATCCCACTCGTTAAGTCATTAATACTGGGTCTAGACCAGTGTTAATTAAAGTATGTCACTGATCTCTTTTCGATGGTGCTGACTTTTTGTATCAATGAAGAACAAGTAAAATGAAGAAACCAATTTCACTTAGAACAGTGGAAACAATTTTTTATTCATTACTAAATATTCAATAGATGGGTGAGCCGTTTCTGAATGGAAGTTATGTAACAAGAAAGGAATATTAAGAATTTTTTAAGATGCTGTATAGATGAGGGGGGAAAGACCAAAGGCACGGAGTCTAAAGGTGATCTAAGATATCAACCTAGATCCAATGCATCTGTAACTAGGGTGAGAATAGGCTGTGTAGGGGCAAAGGGAACCCCCTCCCAAACATTCCTAGGTTTTATCTACCAGTTCAGAAAAGATAAGAACTGAATGAAGGGGTACCTGAACCACCATGTCTATATGACGATGGGCCGTTGAGTACATAAAGGCCATCCAACCTTGCAAATGCTTGAAGTGCAGTCTGTAGCTGTACCACGTAAGTGCACACCGCCATGTGTCCTAGAACTTTGAGGCAGTTCTGAACTGTGAAGGCAGAAGGGCCAATAGTATGGAGGTGGGACGCAGTTCTGAGAAGGCCACTGACTCCTAAAATGCTGAGGTGGACAGACACCAACTGGAGCTGTTGGGCAAACTTAAATCGGGACACAATAGATCTGACTTCTGAGTCCAATGAGGAGTCCATTTCCTCCAACTATGGGGGAGATGAACTCATCAGTATCAGGGAGTGGGGTTGTGAGTCTGGAAAAGAGGGAACCAATGAAATCATCGCTGGCTTGCCTCTACATGTAATCCTACGGAGAGGAACCATGAGCATAGAAGTGACCAGTACCAAGTGATGCTCTGGGGCTTGAGTCGGGACCGCAAGAGCATGTGGTTCCAAAGTTGGTTCCTTGTGAGGCTCTTGAATCATGGGAGAAGCCGGTACCAACAAGCTGAATAACTCCCTGGCTGCCTTAAATGCCTCAGGTGCCAACGGCACCAGAAGGGGTTTTTGAGCCTGCAGGACCGAGAGGTGCGTTGATGCTTCAGGGACTGGTCTAAATGGACTCTTCCTGGGTTCCGAAGTCAGCAATCCCTGCTGGCTCACAGACTGCTCCTGGGGGTGTGATTTTTTAGGGCACCCCTATGAGTTCTTGTGAACACTTGGCACTTTCCTGTTGGAAGGTTCTGGTACTGAATCCCTCGGAGACATATGCAATCTTTTCTTAGGCACCGGCAATACAAATCTGGCTGATGACTTCGTGAAAACAGGAGGAGCACTCCTCATAGACATGGACATGCTTGGTACCCACTCAGAGCGGGTGGGTTCTGATGGTGGATGAAGTGCAGAATCCACGAGCAGGTACTTGAGTCTGGCAGCCTTATCCTTTTTCGAATGATGTTTGAACAAATGTGATATTTGTCACTCACACGCATGTCTCTCAGACACTTAAGGCAGCTGGAAGGAGGATCACTCACTGGCATAGACACGTTACATGAATGAAAGGCCTGGAAGCCAGGAGAATGGGGCATCAGTTTGGTATCAATCCCAGTACCCAGTCAGGGACTGGTAACCCCACACTAAAAAGACATAAGTTTACAATACTATTTACAGAATTACTATATAGGACTAAAACTAATATTATCAGGTACTACATACACTGAGGGAGGAAAGATATGAAGAAACAAAGATCGCAGCTCCAACAACCATCATCACTGACAGTAGGAAGGAACTGAGAGGTGTTGGGGTCAGTGTGGCCCTTAATACCTGCGTGCAGTGGTAAGAGGTACCAGAGGGAATTCATACTGGACTTACAGGTACCGCTAAGGGAAAAATCTTTGACAACTGTGCACAAGGCATGCACACACCTACAGTGGAATGGAAATGTGGAATCACTTGAAGAAGAATTTGTTTTATTGTGAGAAAGTGGCCCAAGGAAAACAGCCCTGGAATTCTTGGAACAAGATTTGGAGAGTTTACCTTTTATGGTTGATGAAATATGCAAAGAGAAATAAGAATAGAACAGGTGCTTCCTAAGCTTCTTTAATGTTTTCCTACATTTTTCAATCTTTGGGATGATCTAATGTTTGTTTCAGAGAAATAATCAGAGGTGTTGAGTGGAGGGCAGAGAGGGTAAACTCTTTTTCCATATAATCACAGGCGGGACTCAGGAATGACTTTTATCAGATCTTGACTCCACTCACAGCAAGGAGCGCCTGGGGCTGGAGTGACAGCAGCCTACCCACATGATGCAGAGAAAGAGAACAAGGGGAAACAGAAAGTGAAAAAGTAGGTAGCAGAGAGCTAAAAAAGACTGATAAAAAAAGAATTTTGAAGAGATCAGAATGGCATTCCAGAGCTATCTGCCTATCTCCTTAGCAGAGCAGAGATTTCTAGCAGGGAGTTGGTGAGCAGCCCCCTTATCCAGGGTTCAACCTGATGGACACCTCCAGCTGTCTCTGACCAGTTGGCAAAGAGAACCCTGCCTATGCATATAGTTTCAATCAATATGTCCACTCCCTAAGGCAAATCCTCACACTAGATACAATCTACTGAAACTCTGCCATAGAAAGGAAACTTGTTTTTAAAAGGTTTTATTATTTTAATGGCTTTGAAAAGTCTTACCCCATTTAAGGTAGAGCTTGCTTTGGAAATTTCAACTCGCTGGCTGCTGAAATCGGATTCTAGGCTTTGATATTGATTTATTAGATTTGTAACCAGAGTATTGATTAAATTGGCACAGTTTGCTTCAGAAAACACCTGCCCCTGGACCTGTAAGAGAACACATTTATTTCAAAGCTCTGAAGACTTGAATTGTGCAAAGTAATATCCTAAACTAATGTGATGTATAACAACTGCATTTCCATTAAATACCAACACTTAAAATACCACATACCTTTAAAAGAAAGTGCGTCAAGAATGTGTACACAATATTGTTGTTAAGAAAGGTTCTTTCATCCATTAGAATACATTTAATATATTCTGCAAAAACTGGATCTTCACACAGGAGTTTAATACAGTTCTTTGACATAGCAGACTAAAGAGGAGAGAAAAATACTTTGCAATTTAATGCTGCAAAATTAGCACTGAAATTATGACACTAGTGAGAGCATTGTACATAATTATCTATTAAGGGTAAATGAAAGAATAGGCACCATCTGGAATAATGCCTGCAACATTAATTGTCATGAAAACTAACAAACTGGGTCTACTAATCCAATTAATTCATACTGAAAATGTTTGCCTGCCATTAATGAAAATAAACTACTACTAAGGACAAAAAGAAATTAATTTGCAAAAAGAACGAGGAGTACTTGTGGCACCTTAGAGACTAACAAATTTATTTGAGCATAAGCTTTCGTGGGCTAAAACCTACTTCATCGGATGCATGGAGTGGAAGATATAGGAAAATACATATACACAGAGAACATGAAAAAATGGGTGTTGCCATACCAACTGTAATGAGGGTAATTAATTAAGGTGAGCTATTATCAGCAGAAGAAAAAAAACTTTTGTAGTGATAATCAGGATGGCCCATTTCCAACCATTGACAAGAAGGTGTGAGTAACAGTAAGGGGAAAAAATTAGCATGGGAAAACAGTTTTACTTTATGTAATGAACCATCCACTCCCAGTCTTTATTCAAGCCTAATTTAATGGTGTCTAACATGGCTACCATTCTGAAATTAATTTGCGTTCTTTGATTCACCTCATTTTATGTGAGGATGGAAGTTTGTCAGGAGTAGTGTGTATTTAGTGAGATCCAGCTCCCCTGGTCTCCAAAGCAACTACTGCCCCCTCTTCTGTGGGTATAAAGGGCCCTCCGGCAGTGGCATTGGTAGAGATCTGCTGCAAGAGGGGACAGGAGCCAGATCTCGGGAGGTCTCAGCCATGAATAATATTAGAAATGTAACTTAACAGTTTTTATGTTCATGAACTATAGTAAAGAGGGGTTACTCACCAGTAATTGTTGTTCCTAAAGAGCATGGACTCTGCATATTCACATTTGTGTGATATGGTGCCTCTGGCATTGAGCTGCGGAATATTACTATCGAGCACTAGTTGGAGCCACTAGTTCCTCCATCTCCCTGCCCAGAGGATTGTAGTAGCCCCAACTATCCTTCAGTCTGTTCCCTAATTTAGGAATTCACTACCTGAGACTCTGAAGAAGTGGGGAAGGTGGGCAGAAGGTGTGACTATGCAGAGGCTACATTCCGGAAGAACAGTTACTTGTAAGTAATCCCCCTTTCTTCTTTGAGTGACCTCTGCATAGTCCCGCTCATGGGAGATTAGCAAAGAGTATAACCCTTAGGAAATTCTAGGTGAACAAGGAGGGTGGTAACTACCAAAACGAGCATCAGCTCTAGATGGCAGGTCAAGAGAATATGCTGGCTACCAATCCACTCTCCCATGAGGCCGCTGTGAGGTTATGAGACACATATAGAGCTACAAGCAACAGCTTGGAAATGCTGTGAAAAAGGCCAGCAACAGGTGCTGCCTTTGGGTTCATCGGATATCTTTTAATATATGCAGGTGACTGAACAGCTGACAAGTCTTAACGAGGGTGTAAAATAGAATTGAGGAAACAGACAAGTTAGTGGTCTGTTTTAGATGGAAATGGAGATGATTTAAGACTCCAAATGGGGATTGAGGGCACTAACTGTGTCACACTTCTCATATGGACTCCTGTTTATAGAGAACTGGCCATTTGGTATGTATCTAACAAAGTCCAGGAAGTAGCTATAGATATGAGAAGTTCCTCTTCTACACTGTGAGGTACAGATGATAATCCACTGGTCTACAATTTTTGAGAAGTCGTCTCCTTCAGAGATAAAATGTGCTATTTATATGTATTTTGATGTGC